TGATCTATGATGGATGCCAGAACGGGTTTCATTCTCGTTTGTTTTCTTTACAGCCGTTTTTGGAAATAAGGAACCGAATTTGAACATAATGATTTACAAAATGACCAAAACGCGGTAATAAGTCAAACTCGGATTGATTTCCTCTCTTTCACTCACTCCTTTTTTTTTCTTAGAGGATCAAGGCACCATAACAGGTTTGTCAAGCCTGAAGGTTCTCGGAAAGGAAAGGAGTGGTTCTCATTGCAGTTCTTGTTGAGGAACAGACGAAGGAAAATAAACAATTTTGCAATCCATGCTGCGCTATTCAGCTTTTGACACTTTGCGGTCTTCACGGGGGGGATTTTCTTTGTTTAATTTGATTATTATTTTGCTGTTAGAAGTGAAATTCATTGTATGTGCATGCGCATGTGTGTGTGTGTGTGTGTGTGTGTGTGTGTGTGTGTGTGTGTGTGTCTATATATATATATATATATATATATATATATATATATATATATACATATATATATACATATACATATATACATACGTACATACAACTTTATTTCATATTTAGGTTCATTTGCTCTGCTAGGGGCGACCTGCATGTCTGTTTCGAATATATACCTATATATCCTTCACTGATCAAATGGAAGTGTCCGAATGCTTATGTTTCCATTCCCTTACATAGACTGTGTGACCTCTCTTGCACTATTTCTTCCTCCTCTTGCCTTCCCTTCTCCCACCCATTCCATCTTGCTCGCACACGCTTAAGCCACGACCTGTATTTTCACTCTCCCTTCCCCCCCTTCCTCCTCCAGGGACGGCAAGACGGGCTGCAGCACTCCAAGTCCGGCAGCAACCTTCGTCAGAGCAGTAACGGCGAGGTGCGGCCCCCCAGTGGTTCCCCCCCCAGGGTACACTTCAGCGACGACAAGGAGAATGACCCACAGCTCAAGGTAGGGGCATTTGGGGCGTCGTTGGGGGAGGGAAGGGAAGGGATGAGGGAAGGGAAGAAGGTGGGAGGGAAGAGGGAAGAAGGGGTTTGAGAAAGGGAAGGGGACAGGGAGGGGAAGAAGATAGGAGGGAAGGGAAGAGGAAGGGGAGGAAATGGGAGGGAAGGAAAGAGGGGAAGGGGAGTAAGGAAGGAAGGGAAGACGGGGCAATAGGGAAGGGTAATGAGGAGGGAATGAAAGAGGGGAAAGGGTATCAGAGGGGGTGGAAAAAATAGGAAGAAAGAGGACTGAAGAGAGAAAGGAAGAGAGGGAGAAAGGAAGGGAAAGGGAAGAAGGGAGAAAACCAAAACGTAGGGAAAGGAGACGCACGAGAGAAGAGAAAGTATAGAGAAGGGAAAGAGCGAGTCGTTAGGAGAAGTAAGAGGAAGGAGGGAATGAGTGATAGGAGAGAGGAGAAGGAGAAAAAGAGGGAAGGGCGAAAGGGAAAGCCAGATATCCGGATCTTTGGTCTTATACTTGGGATTTTAATGATTGATTATGATGATTATGATAATTATGATGATCGGATAGCTAATATAAAGGTCGTTAGAAAGAGTGGAAGAGAGAGGAATTCCTGACATGTTTCTTACGTCGTGAAGAGATAATTGATTTTTTTTCCTTTTTTTTGTTAGAGTAAATCATTGTTAAACGTGATCAGAAGACAGTGAATTATGGAGGGAAAGGCAACACGACCTGATTGATTAAAACGAAAGGTCAACCGTAAAACACGAAGACTTTTGAGATTTATAGTTCCCGCTGAAAAGGATGATTAAGCTTATTGAACAAAAAAAAATAAAAATACTAAAGGTAAAAAAAAATTAAAGGTTTGAGGATGACTTTTGAAATGAGCAACGTCATACTGCCCGCTGCCACTTCAACTTGTGGTTAAAAATGCCAGTTGTAATGCAAGCCCTGCAGTTGCGTTTATTATTTTGAATTTTCTGGTTGTTGCATTTTCCTTTAAGGTTGAATTTTTAGTTGTTGTTTTTTTCTTCGTTTGTGCATTAATGTAACTTGCTGATATTTAAGTCACTGAATAATTGAATAATCAAATGTACTCACTGAACTTTTTTTCTCCACCTCCCCCAACTCCCCACTCCCACTACTCCACCCCCACCCCCACCCCACCACAGTTCTCCCGCCCTCCCTCCCTGGCCGTGGGGGTGCTGAGCCAGCCGGGCATCAAGCGATCAAAGTCTCTCGGATCAGCTGACCTGCGCGCGACCCAGCTGCTGGAGGCGTCGACTCCCCCCGCCGCCATGCCCGACCTGGGGCCCTTCTCGCCGGACGTCCAGGGCGCCATCACCAAGGCCATGACAGGTGAGGGGAAACGAGGGGAAGGAAAGGGGTAGGGAAGGGTAGGTAGGGGTAGGAGGGGAGGGAAAAGGGGAGGGAGGAGGAAGGTAGGAAGAAGGGTGGGTGGGAGGGGAGAGAGAGAACGAGAGAAAGAGAGAGAGAGAAAAAGGGATAGAGGGAGAGAGTAGTCAGTCTAGTTAGTCAATCAGTCAGACAGACAGACTGTGTGTGTGTGTGTGTGTGTGTGTGTGTGTGTGTGCGTGTGTGTGTGTGTGTGTGTGTGTGTGTGTGTGTGTGTGTGTGTGTGTGTGTGTGTGTGTGTGTGTGCTTGCGCACGCATGTCTGTCTGTCTTTGTGTAAGAGCGAATGCTTATAAGTGTAATCACACACGTACTTATGCATGCATGTTTAGTCACTTCAAAATCTGGATATGTTGTCAACGCGCCCTTCCCGCCCGCAGACCCGAACAGCGTGAGCGCCCGCCAGCTGATGGAGGTGGTCCGGCACGTGTTCACGCGGGTGGTCGAAGCTTCGCGCCACGCCGAGCCCGCGGCCAGACTCTGCATCTCGATCATTGAGGTCAGTCAGGGGGAAATGTAGAAATAAATGGAAAAGACACACACACACACACTCACTCACTCACTCACTCACTCACTAAGTTGTTTATATCTGTGACATCTTTTTCAAGACGAACCACAAAACTGACATAAAATTAAACATACCTATTAATTGTAGAAAACCACACACACACACAAAAAAAAAACATTGCAATGCAAACATACCAACAGACAACAAAATATACCCCACCATAACCTCCCCCCCCCATTGCAGAAAGAGAAGAACGAAACATTCCTGGAAACTCTTCTGAACACGTGTCAGGAGTACTTCCAAGAGCGCGACCGACTGCTGCGCAACAACCCCCCCGCCCCCTACCCAGGCTTCGTACCGGCGCATCCGAGGTGGATCGCGTACATGACCTTCCTCAATGAGATGTATACGCAGGTGAGAGAAGAGGGGGAGAGAAGGAGGAGGGGAGGAAGGGGAAAGAGGAGGGGAAGAGAAGCAGGAGGGGAGGGAAAACGAAGGAGGAAGGGGAAAGAGGTGGGGAGGAAGGGGAAAGAGGAGGGAAAACGAAGGAGGAGGGGAGGAAGGGGAGAGAGAGCAAAAGAGGGAAGAGGGAGGAAGGAGAGAAGGGAGAGGAAGAGAAGCGGGAGGGGAGGAAGGGGAAAGAGGAGGGGAAACGAAGGAAGAGAGGGGGGGGGATGGAAGGTGGAGGGGAGGAAGGGGAGAGAGCAGAAGAAAAAAAGGATGAGGGAGGAAGGGGAGATGGGAGGGGAAAAGAAAGAGGAAGGGGAGAGAGGAGGAGAAAAGAAGGAGGAAGGGGAGAGAGGAGGAGGGAATGAAGGGAAAAGAGGGAGAAAGGAGAGGGATAGAGGGCGGATGGGATAGAGGAGAGCATGAAAGAGAAAAGGAAGAATAGGAAGGGAGACCCCAACAGAAGTAAGGAAGAAGAAGGAGGGAGAACTAGGAGGGATGAAAAGAAGGGAAAGGGGCATTGGTGAGGAAGAGGTGAGGGGGAGAAGGGGAAGGAGAGAAAAAGAAGAGAAAGAGAAGATTGCCAGGGTTGGATCACCTTCATGGCCTTCTTCAGTTAGATGTATAAGAAGATGTATATAAGGAGGAGACAAAGAAAGAGGAAGCGAAAAAGATAGGAAGAAAGGAAGGGGGAGGGAGAAAGAGGAAAAGGGGAGGAAGCGAGAATAGGAGTGAGGAAGAAGAGGTGACAGAAAAAAAGGAGATGGAGAAGGAGGTATAAATTAAGAATGTCTTTTCTATAGGAGAATGAAAGTAAGAGAGAAGTGGGGAAAATAAAGAAAGAGAAGAAGTAAATTATGAAAATCATGTTATTTGAGGAGAAAGTAAGAGGACATAGTAATAAAAAACATAAGAACAGTTAGTGTATTATAAAACTTTTACACTTGTGCAATAACCATCAGTCATTGATGATATTGCAAAAATGTCAGATAATTTCCACAAAAATAAAATAAAAAGACAAAAAAGTAAAATAATCCAAAGATCACATTTATGCCCCATAATGATGATAAAGACGATGATTATAATGAGGAGTACAACCAGAATAATAATATTAACGATAATAAAGATAATGAAGAGATTATAGACATGACATAGTAATGACACTGATATTAATGATAACAGACCCTACTTCTATCTCTCTCTTATCTCCTAATCCGCTAATGACCTTAGCTGTTGACGCGGCAGATGATTTTAAATAATCAATCTCATCTCCTACCCCCCCCCTACTCCCCACAGCTCAAACGACGGCATGTGCAGCTCATGACGAAACGGATGAGGAACAGTGAAACTCCCGCAGGACTTCTTCTCCTGACACTTCTCTCGCAGTGTTGCCAAGTCTGCCTCAAGGAAAATTCTGTGAATAGTCTTGCAGAGGTAATTTTTTTTTTTTTTTGTATAATGTTTTTTTTTTTTTATATGTCTTTTATGCAATATAGGTGTATGCTATATATAAGTAATTTGTGTGGAAATATGGATTTATTTAAAATTTCATTTTGATGTATTGTTTTGAATCGTATTTTGTATTTCTTTTAGTATCTTTCTTACATACAGAATTTGTTTCAACACATATCCATGTTTATATATATTATATTTTTTTCTGACTCCACTCAACAGACTCAGATGTCCTTTTTTCTTATATACTGAACATATATTTTTTTTACCATAGCTTTATATTTTATATTACTTTTATCACATGACATATCTAAACTTTTCAAATGCATCACCCTAATTCCAACCAAAATTTATACCAGAGTACACGGAATCCTCTTCAGTATTGCAAACATCACACAGCCATACGTTGGGTCTTTTTCAGTGTCACACATTCATACACTAAATCCTTTTCATTTTCACACTCTCACACACAGAATCTACTTTACTATCACACAGTCGTACCTGAATCTTCTTCAGTTTGATATGCTCATGCACTGAATCTTCTTCAATTTTGCACACTTATACACAACTTTCTTAATCAGTATAACCCATATTCTAAGTCCACCTGACAACAGAGCATATCCACATACCCTGAAACTTCCTTATCCAAACATCGTGAAATATGTTGAACTTCCTGTTGCAGCATATCTGCATAATCTGTATAACACATAAAAAAAACATATCCCAGCCCTTCAGCAACATAAACTATAAATCCCGAAACTTTCCTAATAACATACCCACACATCTTGAGCATTCCTCAACATATCTCTAACTCTAAAACTTCCTGAACAATTTGTTTACAGACCCTGAACCTTCCTCGACATGAAATAGACTTATACTGTTTTTTATAACCTTGCAGACTGAATGCTTATTCTTCGTGCTGACGGGCCTGGGGAAGGACATCGAAGTGGAACTCCCTCACCAGATGGCTAAGGTGATGGGGGCAGCCAGAGACGCCTTCCTCACCACTGTGCGAGTCCCTGCCGTGCGCAAGACCCTCCTGCAGTTGATCGAGATGCATGCGGCGAGGTGGCAGCTTCCGGCACCAGCTGTTATGTACTACTATCCAGGGTCGGGGAGTAAATAATGAAATGTAAACGAAGTCTTTGGTTTTGTGGGTCCCAGATACATTGAGTTTCCTTTTTTTTATATATATATAAAATCTGGTGCCAAAGGTGTTTTTGTTGTGGAAGGAAAAGACTTCGTATGAAAGGAAGGGAAAATAATTGCCATGTTTGGGTAATTGACTTGTTAATGTTACTCGTTACTCGCTTGGCCAAAGAATATTCTTTTCTTTAATAATTACACAAATCCTGGTCTTGGCGGTGACATTAACAGGAAAATGTTCTTTCAAACAAGTGCCGTAACTTAGGCACTCCTGGCCTAGTCATCCATGTTTGCCTTGTCAAGAAACAGAGTCAATCACAAAGCAACTACAAGAAAATTGGTTGTCTGACAACGTAAGGAACTTTTCATCATACAGACTCTGCTCTGGAATGTGAATGTGTATCGACTTTGGTTTCACTGTCGAAATTTAAGGCTGTTAATCAAAGCATTACATCAAACAACAATGAGCTTTGGCTGTTTTCTGTCACTTGTCCAAATCTTCCCAAAACATTGGCTTTTTTACATTATCAAGAACATATGAAAGGATTTTTTCATCTCCAACTGACAGCATGATCACTACCCCACTTCTCTAAAGCAACAACAGATAAAAGTGCACATTTACAGTGCCTATTGCAAGACCCAAAGAGTTATACAAAACTTAATGAAGAAACGGGAGGCAAGCTACCCTTGTGCCATGTTGTTGTGCTAGTTTACAGTACTCCACTGGGATGCCTTTCCTCAGTGGCTTTGAACCTGCCGCCATACAGTGTACCGCCGCTCGCATGTTGAGACTCACGGGACAAGGTTGCCAGTTATGTCCCAAGGCAGAGGAGGTGTGCTCTGGGGGGACGCCCGCTGTTCCTCGTGAAACCTAAAGCTCTTTTGTGTGCACCAGAAGGAGGGATGTCTTAGTCTGACTCCTCTAACGATCGACCGACGTTGATAAAACGATTCTCGATACTTCTCTCGAGTGACAGCCCGTGCGGCAAGGCCCGGGCGGTCATCCTCAAGGTAATGAAGTGGCCAGCTGGAGGCAAGGAGAAGCCCGGAGGCTGTGGGTGTTCTCCGCGGTGCTCCCTCGACGGCTCTTCGTGCAGGGAGCTCACACGCCTCACTGCTCGCAAGGTTCCCACACTCGCTGGATCTGAGACTGGGGTGCTGGCAGACTTTTAGAAAAGAAAGAGCTCATCATTGTTCCTTAACCAAAGGTAAATGCCTAGAAAGTGAAATTAGTTGTACTGAAACACTCAGAAGGGGCCAGAAATGTCAGCCTCGTTTATCATTATATATATATATATATATATATATATATATATATATATATATATATATATATATATATATATATATATATATATATATATATATATATATATATATATATATATATATATATATATATATATATATATATATATATATATATATATATATATATATATATATATATATATATATATATATATATATATATATATATATATATATATATATATATATATATATATATATATATATATATATATATATATATATATATATATATATATATATATATATATATATATATATATATATATATATATATATATATATATATATATATATATATATATATATATATATATATATATATATATATATATATATATATATATATATATATATATATATATATATATATATATATATATATATATATATATATATATATATATATATATATATATATATATATATATATATATATATATATATATATATATATATATATATATATATATATATATATATATATATATATATATATATATATATATATATATATATATATATATATATATATATATATATATATATATATATATATATATATATATATATATATATATATATATATATATATATATATATATATATATATATATATATATATATATATATATATATATATATATATATATATATATATATATATATATATATATATATATATATATATATATATATATATATATATATATATATATATATATATATATATATATATATATATATATATATATATATATATATATATATATATATATATATATATATATATATATATATATATATATATATATATATATATATATATATATATATATATATATATATATATATATATATATATATATATATATATATATATATATATATATATATATATATATATATATATATATATATATATATATATATATATATATATATATATATATATATATATATATATATATATATATATATATATATATATATATATATATATATATATATATATATATATATATATATATATATATATATATATATATATATATATATATATATATATATATATATATATATATATATATATATATATATATATATATATATATATATATATATATATATATATATATATATATATATATATATATATATATATATATATATATATATATATATATATATATATATATATATATATATATATATATATATATATATATATATATATATATATATATATATATATATATATATATATATATATATATATATATATATATATATATATATATATATATATATATATATATATATATATATATATATATATATATATATATATATATATATATATATATATATATATATATATATATATATATATATATATATATATATATATATATATATATATATATATATATATATATATATATATATATATATATATATATATATATATATATATATATATATATATATATATATATATATATATATATATATATATATATATATATATATATATATATATATATATATATATATATATATATATATATATATATATATATATATATATATATATATATATATATATATATATATATATATATATATATATATATATATATATATATATATATATATATATATATATATATATATATATATATATATATATATATATATATATATATATATATATATATATATATATATATATATATATATATATATATATATATATATATATATATATATATATATATATATATATATATATATATATATATATATATATATATATATATATATATATATATATATATATATATATATATATATATATATATATATATATATATATATATATATATATATATATATATATATATATATATATATATATATATATATATATATATATATATATATATATATATATATATATATATATATATATATATATATATATATATATATATATATATATATATATATATATATATATATATATATATATATATATATATATATATATATATATATATATATATATATATATATATATATATATATATATATATATATATATATATATATATATATATATATATATATATATATATATATATATATATATATATATATATATATATATATATATCTGTTCTCCCCCTTCCCCCCAATCCAGCTGTGTCTTGCGACCAGCTGTGATCGTCTTCCAGAAAGGATCCAACTCCAATGTGACAGCTTTCAGTTGGTTCACCTCCTGCAGTCCTTTCTCTTTCCTCTCCTTGCAATGCCTTGCAAAATTACATGGAACTTTTTTCTCCTTTTTTGTGGCCAGGAAGGACTGGACCTGCACTACAAGAGAAAAAAATGAAAAAATGAAAAGGAATACACTGAGCTGACTGGATTCTTCAGATAACATCCAGATCAACTGCATTATTTTGATAACTGATGAACATTTTGTGTAGTTACAGAAAAGAACACTTTGTGATATAATTATTTTTTCCAGATTTCTTTTTATTCATCAGTCAGTCATACTTTGCCTTTCAATATTATGAAATTATTATAGCTTTTGAATCACCACTCAGTGTATTTCTTGCGTGCTGTTGTATTCAGGATACACTTGCAGCTGGATGAGATTTCGAATGTATTTTCCCCCAGCTAACCTCTTGTCAGTCTTGCTCAGCTGTGCTCGTTCCCCACGCTGAAAAAAGGGAAGTAAAACCAGCATTATTTTTATATTTGCTTTTATAATTATGGTGACTGACATATTTTTTTTTTTCGTTCCTTTTCTTTTCTTTTCTTTTCTCTTTTCATATCTCTCTGTCTCTGACTTTTATCTTCTTCTTTTCAAAAGTATTTTTTGTGCTCTGTGAGTATTTTTTTAATGATGATTGTGAATAAGATGAGTTAGAAATTTAAGTGCCTTAAAGTGTGTGTGACGCAACTATCACATCTTACAATGGGTGAAATGTTGTATACAGTACTATTATATTAAATTAGTATATATATATATATATATATATATATATATATATATATATATATATATATATATATATATATATATATTTCTTAAATTTATTTGGAATCGAGAACTCAAGTCCGCAGTTACCCAGTACTAGGTTGTGGCACACAGGCCCTGGTTCAGTTATAACTGCTGTTGAATGGTTTATGCAAAATATAAGAGTGAAATTTCAGGAGGACCTTCATAGAGGCTGAGATTTAGACAAAAAATGAGTTTTTAAATGAAGTAAGAACTTTATTTTTTCAAATGGATCCATGAGAGCCAGGGTTAAAAATCAGTTCTTTTGGAATGCTCATGATTTTTTTTGTCCATCCTGATAACTGAAAAAAAGTTTATTAAATTTAGGCTGTAGGTGATTTAGAATTATTATATAGATAGAATCTGAAGATGGAAGGAAAATCACACATAGATCATATTTTAATATCTTACTTACCATTGTATAGATATTTAGAGGAAACAGTCATGTGTTAATATCTGATTACAAATAGAAAGGGTCAAATGCAACAAACCCTTTAATGTCTTTGGTAAAAAGAAAAATAACCTGTTCAAAATGCATAATCACACTGTATAATTTCTTATTACCAGACAGAAAATTTGAATTAACATTTTGAAGACTGCATTCTAATTCAACGTTTCTTTCACAATTTGCATTCATTGTGACAGCAGATTTAATTGTTGTTGTTTTTAGTTCAATGGCCTATCAACGCATTGCTACGATACCAAGGCACATTGCTATACGATCCATGGTTGTCACAAGTTAAACTGGTAGAGTCTGTGACGTAAGTGCTTTAACATAATCTAGTCCACTACTGCATCCTTCCCCTCTACGCTTCTCCTCTCTCTCTCTCTCTCTCTCTCTCTCTCTCTCTCTCTCTCTCTCTCTCTCTCTCTCTCTCTCTCTCTCTCTCTCTCTCTCTCTCTCTCTCTCTCTCTCTCTCTCTCTCTCTCTCTCTCTCTCTCTCTCTCTCTCTCTCTCTCTCTCTCTCTCTCTCTCTCTCTCTCTCTCTCTCTCTCTCTCTCTCTCTCTCTCTCTCTCTCTCTCTCTCTCTCTCTCTCTCTCTCTCTCTCTCTCTCTCTCTCTCTCTCTCTCTCTCTCTCTCTCTCTCTCTCTCTCTCTCTCTCTCTCTCTCTCTCTCTCTCTCTCTCTCTCTCTCTCTCTCTCTCTCTCTCTCTCTCTCTCTCTCTCTCTCTCTCTCTCTCTCTCTCTCTCTCTCTCTCTCTCTCTCTCTCTCTCTCTCTCTCTCTCTCTCTCTCTCTCTCTCTCTCTCTCTCTCTCTCTCTCTCTCTCTCTCTCTCTCTCTCTCTCTCTCTCTCTCTCTCTCTCTCTCTCTCTCTCTCTCTCTCTCTCTCTCTCTCTCTCTCTCTCTCTCTCTCTCTCTCTCTCTCTCTCTCTCTCTCTCTCTCTCTCTCTCTCTCTCTCTCTCTCTCTCTCTCTCTCTCTCTCTCTCTCTCTCTCTCTCTCTCTCTCTCTCTCTCTCTCTCTCTCTCTCTCTCTCTCTCTCTCTCTCTCTCTCTCTCTCTCTCTCTCTCTCTCTCTCTCTCTCTCTCTCTCTCTCTCTCTCTCTCTCTCTCTCTCTCTCTCTCTCTCTCTCTCTCTCTCTCTCTCTCTCTCTCTCTCTCTCTCTCTCTCTCTCTCTCTCTCTCTCTCTCTCTCTCTCTCTCTCTCTCTCTCTCTCTCTCTCTCTCTCTCTCTCTCTCTCTCTCTCTCTCTCTCTCTCTCTCTCTCTCTCTCTCTCTCTCTCTCTCTCTCTCTCTCTCTCTCTCTCTCTCTCTCTCTCTCTCTCTCTCTCTCTCTCTCTCTCTCTCTCTCTCTCTCTCTCTCTCTCTCTCTCTCTCTCTCTCTCTCTCTCTCTCTCTCTCTCTCTCTCTCTCTCTCTCTCTCTCTCTCTCTCTCTCTCTCTCTCTCTCTCTCTCTCTCTCTCTCTCTCTCTCTCTCTCTCTCTCTCTCTCTCTCTCTCTCTCTCTCTCTCTCTCTCTCTCTCTCTCTCTCTCTCTCTCTCTCTCTCTCTCTCTCTCTCTCTCTCTCTCTCTCTCTCTCTCTCTCTCTCTCTCTCTCTCTCTCTCTCTCTCTCTCTCTCTCTCTCTCTCTCTCTCTCTCTCTCTCTCTCTCTCTCTCTCTCTCTCTCTCTCTCTCTCTCTCTCTCTCTCTCTCTCTCTCTCTCTCTCTCTCTCTCTCTCTCTCTCTCTCTCTCTCTCTCTCTCTCTCTCTCTCTCTCTCTCTCTCTCTCTCTCTC